TCTGTATACAGATACATTTATTTTAGCAATAAACGTTATCTTATCTTATCTTATCTAAACAAAAAAACAAAATAATTAATTTTATTTAGTAGAAAGTAGTAGTTTAGTAGTAGTTTAGTAGTAGTTTAGTAGTAGTTTAGTAGTAGTTTAGTAGTAGTTTAGTAGTAGTTTAGTAGAAAGTAGTAGTTTAGTAGTAGTTTAGTAGTAGTTTATTAGTAAATATATGTAATTATATAAAATTATGAAACATTGTTCAGTTCATATAAAAGTAAGATTTAAATAGAGTGTAGGAGAAGTTGTTTATGTCAACCAAAGATGGTTTCCCCCGCTGAGTTGTGGATGCGTGCAGTACTCCCGACATTGTTGGAATTACAGCATTTGCGGATTTTTGGTTTTTGATTCGTGGGTTTTTTGGTACAATTGCATTTATACTATGATATGATTCAAAAATTTATATTTGGGCGAGTTGTTGTTATATAGCAAAATGTTACATAGGCGAGTTGTTACTTAGGCAAGTTGTTACATGGCGAGTTGTTACATGGTGAGTTGTTACATAGCGAGAAGTTATATGGCGAGATGTTACCTAGACAAGTTGTTATATGGCGAGTTGTTACATGGCGAAATGTTATATGGCGAGATGTTACTGAACCCTTGTGGCAAAAATTCAATTCCTTAACAATGTTAATGTTAACAGCAGCAAGGATTTACATCTAAAATATTGTTTTTACTTTCTCCCTGAAAAACATTTCACATTTTAAATTAGGTTTGCTGGAAGATAATTTAAATAATGTAATGTTTTAAGTTCAGGAATTTGTTGTGGTTTACAGTCCGTTAAATGGACTTCATATCCATGCTTTTATAACACTAAGTTGTAAACTTGTTTATTTTATATAATTGAACTATTTCAAACATGGTTCACGAGCTAACACACCAAAGGAATTGTGTTTTTGCCACAAACTTCAATTTTTCTAGTCCCTATCTTTGTTTTCCGATGTCGTAGATCTAGGATATTTCAAACTACAAATTCTGTTAGATCAAATAGTTTATATTTGAAGGGTTGGATAGGTTTAGAAGAGTATTCATATAATTTTTGAATATTTTGTTGGCATCTTTCGTAATTAACAGAAGAGATATGAAATGCTGGTTTACTAGTTACTGACGGTACTCATCTAGATATTTTTTTCTACTTCTGGAGTTCTGGAACAATATGTATACTGTATACAGAATACAGAGAAAACAAATACAAAAATGAAATTTTTCCTTATTCCAGTATTTACTTTCTATTTGAAAGAAGTGTGCCTCTATCTGTAAGAAGTGTGCTTCTATTTGTAAGAAGTATGCCTCTATCTGCAAGAAGTAAGCCTCTATCTGTAAGAAGTAAATCTCTATCTGTAAGAAGTAAGCATCTATCTGTAAGAACTGTGCCTCTATTTGAAAGAAGTGTGCCTCTATCTGTAAGAAGTGTGCTTCTATTTGTAAGAAGTAAGCCTCTATCTGCAAGAAGTAAGCCTCTATCTGTAAGAAGTAAATCTCTATCTGTAAGAAGTAAGCATCTATCTGTAAGAAGTAAATCTCTATCTGTAAGAAGTAAGCATCTATCTGTAAGAACTGTGCCTCTATTTGTAAGAAGTAAGCCTCTATCTGTAAGAAGTGTGCTTCTATTTGTAAGAAGTTCGCCTCTATCTGTAAGAAGGGTGCTTCTATTTGTAAGAAGTGTGCCTCTATCTTTAAGAAGTAAGCCTCTATCTGTAAGACGTGTGCCTCTATCTGTGAGAAGCGTGCATCTATCTGTAAGAAGTGTGCCTCTATCTGTAAGAAGTGTGCCTCTATCTGTAAGAAGTGTGCCTCTATCTGTAAGAAGTGTGCTTCTATTTGTAAGAGGTAAGCCTCTATCTGTAAGAAGTAAGCCTCTATCTGTAAGAAGTAAGCCTCTATCTGTAAGAAGTAAGCCTCTATCTGTAAGAAGTGTGCCTCTATCTGTAAGAAGTGTGCCTCTATTTGTAAGAAGTAAGCCTCTATCTGTAAGAAGTGTGCTTCTTTTTGTAAGAAGAGTGCCTCTATCTGTAAGAAGTGTGCCTCTATCTGTAAGAAGTTCGCCTCTATCTGTAAGAAGGGTGCTTCTATTTGTAAGAAGAGTGCCTCTATCTGTAAGAAGTGTGCCTCTATCTGTAAGAAGTAAGCCTCTATCTGTAAGAAGTTCGCCTCTATCTGTAAGAAGGGTGCTTCTATTTGTAAGAAGAGTGCCTCTATCTTTAAGAAGTGTGCCTCTATCTGTAAGAAGTGTGCCTCTATCTGTATATGTTAATCCCTTGTATTAAAAGTTGTCTTGATGTCTAATAAACTAATGGTTAAAGTCTAAAGGATTTGTTGTTTAAGGTGCAAGAAATCAAGTTGATGAAAACCAAAGAAAATATAATTTCGTAACGTCGCAGACATTTCCTTTTCTTTTCTCCAGTTTGTACTATCTCATTTCAGACTTTTTTATTACACTTTACAGGCTGCTATTAAACACCTTAAACTTTTAGGTTTTATTCTTGTTTTTGTCATTTTCTAATGTTGATTTAAAGTAAACAGCCAGGTTAAACCCTTTTTCACACTCTGCCATATATTTATGTTTGATTTTTGTTCTACGCTTAGTTTACAAACATAATTGTTATCACGAGGGTGCATGGGGAGGATATAAGGGCTGTCAATACAATTGATGTCATTTTCACAAAACGAAAGTCATCCATTTAGAAATATTGTAAAAATGTAAATTCAAAATGTCTGTGCAGGTTTGTAGCCTTTTTTTAGGCAACTTTCATTTCAACTTTTTCCCCTAGTAACTAGAGACTATCACTGCATGCCTTTCCAGAAGACAAACTACCATTTTTGGTTTGGTAGTTTAGAAGTTTTTAATCCTTATACTTCGAAAAAGAGTCATGCAACAGACGTGTACGACAGTGCGGCAAAACACAATATTTGGTGAAAATCATATTTTTTCTCAAAACTTTCCAATTTTGGTGTTTTACTAGAGTAGAACAAATACCGCTGAAATCGCAGCCAATTAAATGTTTAATCTTCCAATAAATTATTGCTATTTAAAAAAAGTATTAAAGGAACTGAGTTTTTGCCACAAATTATGATTTTACAATCACTATATCTTTTCAACCTGATGTTGTTTACCTTTGATATTTCAAACTATCATTATTTGATCTAAAATGATTCATAGCTTGAAATATCTAAGGTCTCCGACATTCAAATGCAAAGATATAGGGATAAGAAAATCAGAGTTTGTGACAAAAACTCAATTCCTTTAGAAATTTATTTGACCAAACAACAGCCTAATAATATTATGGTATATTTTACTTAGATGACAATATTTACACAAGATTAAGGAATTCTATTTTCCCTGAAAAAGTTTCATTTGATCAAGACAGAAATCTATGGGCACTGCTTTCGATACAAATTCTAAAATATTAAATTTACCCCAGGCTCATCCATCTATACAAGGAATACATGTTGAATACAACTCAAGACAATTTACCCCAGGCTCATCCATCTATACAAGGAATACATGTTGAATACCACTCAGGACAATTTGTTGAGAATTTGTTCAGGAGAAACTGAGACAAAAAATGAATATTAATTTTAGAATAAAAAATTAGTTTTGGAACAAAATACCTACATATTTCGGTGTTCATTAATAATAGTAAGATATCAAAGTTAAAAAGAAAAACCTTAAAAAAACTTAGCTTTTCAATATTTACCGATTGATTCAATACACTGCAATTACATTTCTGCACAAATTTTTCTAAAGTCTATTGCCAATTCTGTTATGTTTTTGTTATTATTTACACCAGCTTGAGAGCCCAGCTTTGAGTTACTTCCGCCGTTGACCTGCACTTGGTCGGAAATTACGATTTTAACTATTTCCCTATAAAAACGGACGCATAAACCAATTAGTATATAAATGCGAATTTTCGATTGATTTCTTCAGTCTAGTCTTGTAATTCTGGTTTTTTTTTTAAACAAAGGTTTGAAGTCTTTGAAGAAGAAGAACATTTCTATGTAATATATTTATTTTTAAAAAACTGTCCAAGCAATATATATACATTGCTTGTCTGTTTGTTTGTTTGTTGGCTTGCTTGTGACCGAGAAACGTCAAAACGCCGGAACCGATCGGGGCCAAATTTTATGTAGGACCTCACATGATCCCAGATTAGGTTTATGGATGGTTAGAATTTAATAAATTTAAATAATTCCACGAAAAAAACGATAACAGGGCAACAAATAAAAGTTAAAGATGAGCGCAAAGCGTCCTGAAGCCTAGTTTTAATATAATGTATTGATAAATGTTCCTAGACTGCAAAGTGTAAACCTCTAAAACTGTTGACAACCCCTGACAATTATCCTAGATGAAGGTTCATTATCTAAGGATTTGCAATATACAAATCATTCATCAGCTTTCTAATCTGAAATCTTAAACTGACTGTATGACGTAATTTCAAGTGAACCTCTGTTTAAAGTGTGTCATGGCCGATTCACAACGGTTACCTTAAGACCTTTTTTATCTGATCAAGAACGAAGGAGATATACGTGTTATTCTTTCTAAAAATGGTTCATTTTCAATCGTGGTTTCTCTATAAAAGTGACTTCCTGGTATCAGTCAATCTGCATTTCTGCTGCAGAAGAAGATACACTTTTTTAGGCACGAAAAGCGACTATATCTTTCCAGTTGTTGATCAGATAAAGGATTAAAAGGTACCGTTGTGAAGCTGAGGGTAACTTGAAATTCCGTGTACAGTCCCTTTACATACATTACCCTGTATATACTGTATAGTGTACATTACCCTGTATATACTGTATAGTGTACATTACCCTGTATATGCTGTACAGTGTACATTACCCTGTATATACTGTACAGTGTACATTACCCTGTATATACTGTATAGTGTTCTTGTAAATATAGAGATTTTATTTGATAAGTTCTGAAGTTTTCTGATTGAAGTGTGTTGTGAAAACCCTGAATCAGCTGATCATGAATTGAATTGTCCAGTCTAGCTGCAGCTGCCGGTCAACTAGTATAGCTGGAGAAGCTAGGGTCTGCATGATCATCGCTAGTCCAGGTAAAAAACATTCAGTTTCTACAAAATTTTTATTCAGTACATTTAAATTTGAAATTTATGATTTATAGATAACAAATTCCAAAAAATAGATATTTCTGAATCTTTACAAGTCTAAGGACAAACTCCTATGAGTTGAAAAGTTTAATTTTTGATAAATTATGATGTTGATAATTTTATAATCTCAACTGCATGGATAACATATAATATCCTGTGTTTCATCTTGTTAAAATATTATTCGTATACAATATACATGCAAAGAATGGGTTTTTAATATTCCTTTTAAAGACCTAAATATTGTGTATTTCAAAAATGTATTTAAATATATTTACAGACATAAAATAAGAAATAATAATAAAAGTTTTTTTTTGTCCTGGAAAATACTTTTTGGATTATTTATGATTTAAGTTTTGAGAATATGGAGATAAATTGAATTTGGTGTGTTGAGTATTCCTTTTACTATATACATTTCCTGTATATTTTCATGCAAATATAAACATATTTATTGAATCAGGATCAAATTTCTTGTGAATTGTACACACATATATATATATTGCTGGACACTGTTTTTCATGTTGGACATTCATCTATACATTTATATGAATAAAAGGCATATTTATATATGTATATGTATTCACAAATATCATAAATGGGGACCATTGCTGAAGTGCCCGGCGTTGCCCGTGATTTTTGATATAATCTAAAACTTGGCAGAATATTCTTTTTATTAAGTAGTTGATAAAAAATACGGTATACCTACCATAACATATTTTTATCATATTTTTATCTAGAGGTATCTTCAATAAAGGTTACATATTTGAACTACAAAAATTCTAAATCCCAATTAAATACCAAATTTATATTAATAGATATTGCACGTCATAAAGTCAATTCGCTATCAATAGAGTCCGGGGTATCACAGAATTGGCTTAAAGTAAAACGTCTAAGTTTTAGTAAAATTAGAAATTTAACATTAAGTTAAACTTTTACTTTTTGTACATGTTATTTCTCAGGGTAAAGCTATGCAATATGCAACATTCATGTACACTGTACACTGTACAATGCACAGGCTATACAGTGTTCATACAGGAAACAGATGAATATCCCTCCCAAGGGAGAAATGAAACAAGGAAAAAGGTTTAAAATCCTAGACACAATTTCCTGATGGAAGCTAAAATGATCATCCTTCACCGTACAGCCTTATTCATTCCTTCCTTCTTATTCATTAGTTTCTGCAACTGCTCACTGCTCAACTTCTAATCTTGATCCTATTACAACTTATAATATACTTTGTATTAGTGATCCTTATTCCTTAGTACTTTACCCTTCATCCTTATTCCTTAGTCTTGTGTCTTCTATTCTTTATCCTTGAACCGCTTTGATCCTTTATCCTTGAACCGCTTTGATCTTTTATCCTTGAACCGCTTTGATCCTTTATCCTTGAACCCCTTTGATCCTTTATCCTTGAACTGCTTTGATCTTTTAACCTCTATTCGTTATACATGATTAATCCTTCCTGATCTTGCATTCTATATCCATTATCCTTAAATGATCCTCCCTGATCTTGTATTCTCTGTACTTTTTCCTTAAATGAGCCTCCCTGATCTTGATCCTCTATCCTTTTTCCTTGAATGATCCTCCCTGATCTTGATCCTCTATCCTATATTCTGGAACAATCTTGTTTCTTATCCTTATTTATTCAAACTTTGGCCTTCACCCTAGTCTTGCTTTATATTGCTACCAGCAGTCTTCACCATACATGGTTTAATGTTCATTTGTTTATAATTTGTAGACAGTCAATCAATCTTAATCCTTTATCTTTCATCCATTATTTTTAATCCATTTTCTGTTCATTTAAATCCTTTGTCATGCATTCTCTTTCCGTTTACCATTCATTTTATCTTCATTTACATTTTTCCAACATCCATTAACATGTTACCAATTTTATTTCATATGTTAACTTCAACCATTAGTTTTTTACGAAATCTACAAAATTAAAACTTTTTGATGGATAGAAGGATAGAAACTGTAGAGAGGAAATTATATTAAAGTTGTTTATCTTTGTAAAATAGGATTAAAGTAAACATGGCGCCCTGCCAAATAGATTTCACATTTTTTCTTCAAACCTTTGCAAGCAAGAAAGGATGTGGAATGAATTAGAAAAATGCACCTTTAATACTTGAAATTCGAGGCAAGGAGGGAAAAAAGGGGAGAGGGGGGAACCTTTGCATGCGCTACCACATGTTTATCACATGTTAATAAAATGGAGTATTGTTACTTTGCTGTTGTTAGAATAATCTCTATATAATATCTATTCAATTCGTTGCAAATGAAAAAAAACATAAAAAAGGCTGCTTTATCATAATGATTAAAATAATCGTAAGGTTCCTTGCTGATCTTTAAGTGGCAATACTTTACTCATTAGAAAATAATTAACTTAGGCCAAAACTTTGATCTTGGGATCGAGCATTGATCTCCCATGCAGACCTATAACAGATTAATTAAATTTCTCCTCGTCAATCATTTATCATCAAAATTAACAGGACCTATATTATCAATCAAGATCAAGCGTTAAAGATTAACAATACACTAAACAAAATCAACAGGACCTATGTTGTCTATCAAGATCTGCAAACTATATGGAGTAAAGTGCGTTATTTTTCGATTTTTAGGGAAACCATCTATAACTCACAATAGTTAAACGCAAATCCGACAAGAATGAACTTCAGAAAAAATTTAAATCATTTCATTATAATATTATCTATATAATCTTTGTGTGTGAATAATTATAAAATTAATTATAATTATTAAATCTGTTTAAATATTTTGAATTGTTAACCCCAAGCGCCGATAAAAGGGAAAACCCTTTTTTCCGACATAAATCTTTCTTCCTCATATTATTGAGGATCATCAAGCTGTTCAGCAAAGAGAGGATCATCAAGATGCTCAGCAAAGAGAGGATCATCAAGCTGTTCAGCAAAGAGAGGATCATCAAGATGCTCAGCAAAGAGAGGATCATCAAGATGCTAAGCGAAGGTTAGAGGATCATCAAGATGCTCAGCAAAGAGAGGATCATCAAGCTGTTCAGCAAAGAGAGGATCATCAAGATGCTCAGCAAAGAGAGGATCATCAAGATGCTAAGCGAAGGTTGGATCATCAAGATGCTCAGTGAGGAGAAGATCATCATGCTACTCAGCGAGAGGTGAAGATCTTTAAGCTGCTCAGCGAAGGGACGATTATCTAAGCTGTTCAGCGAGGAGAAGATCATCTAAGCTGTTCAGCGAGGGGAGGATCATCTAAGCTGTTCAGCGAGGGGAGGATCATCAAGCTGCTCAGGGTGTTCAGTCCTCTTGAAAACAGTTCCTGGCTAAGCTTGAGTTTGTTGTGAGCTTGTTCATTCCAAGGAAACAATCCAGTTCATGCAAAGGACTTTACACATATATTGTCAGCCTGAGAACCTTTTCAGTGGCTTCCTATAGCTTGCCCACTTCAGAATATTTGGGCAAGCTAGACCCGACATTCTTGGTTTGAAAATCCCATATAAGATGTTTTAATTCAACCTTTGTGCTGTGTCATATTAGTGTAAAACTATAACCAAATTCCGCAATATGCAATACTTACAACATAATTTAGGAGCTAAAAAAGATCTATATGGAGCAACTACTGGAGTAAGCAAAAAATTTCAAAAAAAATCAATAAACCCTACAAAACTTAGCTCTTGAATTGCATTTTTAGCTTTAAAAGTTCAAAACTGCATTATTTTACATACTTGTTTTTAATTGTCCTGTAAATGTTACACTGAGTGAAGAAAAAATTTCGAGAATAAAGATATATAAACCTGATAATAATATTTTAATAAGCAGTAATTTTAGTTAGACTAACATTTCTAATTGAAATGATATTAGGGTTGAAAGATAGGTATAACCAAATTCAGCAATTTTTTAAATATAACCAAATAACGCACTTTACTCTGTAATACGGAAAAATCAATCATCATGGTTATCCTCTGTTAAAAATAGAGGTCAGTAGTGCAGCAAACGTTGGCCAAAGCTAAATTACTGATTGATCTAGAAAATACATGAAAATAGTAAAAGATGATTTCACAAACGCTAAGTTGTTTTTAACTCTATCACAATTGGCCCCCTCCCCGTGGTTCAATTTCTATCTTAAAAACGGCTGACATTAGAATGCTAAAACTTCTTATTAGAAAAAAAATATCCCTATCGGGATAGGGTTAATCTAAAGCTATATTAAATCAACACTTCAAATCACAAGTTTCCTAAATATCTAAAGAAATTTAAGTTTATCACCGATTGGTAAATTTATAGAATCTGATTATAACTTTAAATATATTAGAATATTCTGAACCTGCAACATTTTGTCATTAATCTACAGAAAGGACTGAGGGAAACTAAAGGATTAGAAACCATTATATTTTACAGCTGAGGGAAGTTTTATAGGTTTCTTTACAAAACTTATTTCTCGACAATTAATAGACAAATAAAAACAGTAATGATCTACAATGGAAATCTCTTATCTAATTTAGTCCACGAAAAAAGGAGAAGGTTGAAATGAAAATAAGTCGAATTGATATTGGTTATTAGACATCTTATTGTTTGATAACAACTTATCTGATATTTAGGAGTAGAATGACTGCTGGGGATACTAAAACGATGAACAAAGATGAGCAAATCAGCTGCTCTCCCTGTTGTGCAAGGAATAATCCGCAAGGCCAAGATGTCTCTCCTATCCTACCAATCAAACCAATCTACAACGAGAAGTTGATCAAACCGGTTCCAGGAAAGATACCTGCCTCAAGGACCGGTTTCTTATGCAGCTTTCTGGTTGATGCCCGTGGTGGTGCTATGACCGGACATAGGCATTGGGGGATGCGTTTAGTAATACCCCCCGGAGCTGTAAGTCAACCAACAAGAATTAATTGCAGGTAATTTTCATCGGACGCAAAGATTATTTTTCGTATATTTATAACAAATTTTGTGAAAATGCATCAAAAGTTTGTTTTTATATCTAATAAGATACATTTTTTTCATTCACTATCTCTGTAGGCTTGAAGCTAAAAAAGCCAAGGTTTGTGGTCCTCATGATAAAAAACCTGGATGTTAGTGTTGATACAGCATCAAATTTGAAGGTTTCATCTAAAATAGAAACCATCATTGAGCAGCTTTCAGAACAGAGGGGAAATTTTCTCTAAATATTCTTTTATCTTCTAATATTCTTTATGAATTTGTTTATGAATTGTTTTGAATAGTGAAATAGCCCTAAAGTTAATACTGAAAAAATACAAAAACGAATTAAGCATTTTCTTCCCCTAGAAATTTATATATTTAACAAATATTTTTGCTTATTTTTATTTATCAATGTTTTGCTGTTTATGGGTCGAATTCGAATCTAAAAACAGCAAAGCTATTAATGGAAACGTAAAAGACAAAAAAGAAAAAATACGATTTTAATAAAACCTCTTCTGAGAAGGCCTAACTTAGCTCTTTATAAATAAATTCTTATTTTTCATTAACATTCTTTTAAAAGCTCTACCCATCCTTTGAGTACACTTTGAGAAGACAGAATATTCTCTAAAAATTATAAATTAGGCTATTTTATTATTTATGATTGAGTACACGACCCTCGCCTTTATTAAAGCACTTTATATAAAATATTTGAAAGGCCGGTTCCATGAAAGGCGGACTTATTTTCTCATATTTTTAAAGTCTTTATTTAAATCCTGATGAATCTTCTCAAGCGTTTATATTTGAATATCTATTGAAAAGAATATCTAAGCAAAGATTGATTATTTCTCCTCGGATATAAGGGAATGTTCATAAATTTTCTACTTATTTAATATTAAAAGTAAAGTTTTGACAGGGACACTATTTATTACAGTTTTCTATTTATTACTCGTCTTTTCTTTCTGTTAGTTTGTTTGGATTGAAAAAATGTCAAGACTGTCGAAATAACCGCACAAAATACTATTAAAAAAATTACCCCCCTACATTGCTAAAAAGTTCTATTTACTATTATTATTACTATTTATTTATCCCACTAAAATTACACTTTTTTACCTTTTAGTTCAGGCAGGCAAATGTCTGAATAATCCATTTATTTATCTTATAATGATTAAAAAAAAATATTATTGATTGAACTTAATACATTTACATTATACAGATCAAATCATGTTATTCTAATAAAAGGAGAATTTTTTTTTATTTCCTGCTATTTTTATTGGTCTGTTAATCCTAAACAGGCTGGGACGTTTGACGCCTCCCCCTCTAGTTTTTTTGTGCTAGCAATAATTAACTTTTAATATCGTATTTTTTAGATATCAAAACCTCCAATCCTTGTCATATCCTCCTCCTTTCATGGAAAGGGAAGCTCTTGCCTCCAGAATTATTGAAATATCTCCAGCTCTTCAGACCTTCAGGTCTCCAGTCCTACTGGAGATACCACACTTTGCCTCCAATGCTGGAGGGGAACGAGAGACAGTGATTCTTCGCTCCGATGATGGAGAAATATGGAGTCAACACATCTCAGATATTGTTGAGGACGGAGAAATATATCAGGTATGATTTCATGAAAAAAATAGAGGTTGAAACTTCTGAAGGATCAAACCCTTAAACTAAAACGCATGAACTTGATATCTACAGTTAAATCTATAAAAATTAAGTGTTTAATCCTTAAACAACATCTAACTTGTATTTTGCATAAGCATAACATTTTTGTGGTTTCTGATTGGTCAAGCCTCTATAATATCTAAGGAATTGGCTTAATCCACCAGACTATATACACTGATAGAGTATATATATTTCTGCTTTCTAATGGGATTAATTGACAATTCATAAGTTAAGGTCTACTGTTAATCAGACCGACTTGAAGATAAGCAACCAATCCTTAACTAATCTGAATAAACTGGTCTCAACCTATTAAACATAACAATTTAAAGACGAAAAAAATGATGTTGAACACGCATAACATTTAGAAAACAGACAGAATAACCTTGAAAACAGTAAATAGACATTTATTTGAAATATTCTAAGAGTTGTTGAAATTACTATAAATTGCCCTGTTTACTGAAATTTACTGCATAATGAGTTCGAAAAGAACATAATTAGGGAATGAATTTGAATAATTAATAAATTACAAAGGTGGGCCACCGTCTGTATATTTCAAAATGGTCACCTTTATCCTTTTGAGATATTTTAGACAATAGACGAAAATTCTTTATATCTCCGGCAATAATGAATGGACTATTTTTGAAAATACCAGGTCTAAGGTTTTATGTTAATATGTGTAATGGTGCATAAATAGGTTTGTTTAGGAATCCCGCCGTACAGACCAGTTAAAGTTTTTACAGAAGATTTTACAGTCAGAAATATCTAAAAATGTTAAATCTAAAATGTTGGTTTTAATTATTATAATTGCGCGTAAACTTTGGTGTGGAGTTCCGCAAATCTTGAATTCTTGATCGTGATATCTAACGTGGGCCCTTTAGACCTTTGCATCAATGCTTGATTGCTCAATTAAATTTTTTTTGGTATACTAAAAAGTTTACTACAGCCAGAGATATATCCAAAGTGAATAAATACTAAAGTGGAACAGACTAAGACCAATTTATATTGTGGCGGCGTAGTGGCGGAAGACGAGGCTTTTGAGGAGTTTTGAACCGAAGATCAAGACGCGGCAAGATGAGAGACTTCCGGCCACGTCATCCCTCTATTTGAATAATATTTTACGTTTTGATAAATTTAAGTTCAAAAATTTAGTAATAAAGTAATTATTTAAACCAGGCGTTTATCAAACTGAGCGTAGCTAAATTGGTGACCCCTAGTTCGAAACTATAGGCATATAGACTGTTTTCCGCGCCATTATAGACATTTTTATAGCTACACGCTCATCAAGTGATTGAAATGCCTAAGTTGAATGCAGATTCTGCGGAGGCCTGGTTCTTACAGGTGGAGGCTCAGTTCGCCCTCAAGGGAGTAACCGCCAGTTCCACCAAGTTCTATTATTGTGTATCTTCGTTTAACCAGGAGACGGCGAATCAAGTTCTGGATCTTATCAAGAATCCTCCGTCTTCAGACCCCTACGAAGCCTTGAAGAACCGTTTATTGAGATTGTTTGCTCTTGACGATTATCAAAGGTATGAAGCAATCTCTAACCTTCCTCTCTCCGGCGACATGAAACCTTCAAAGCTTATGTCGAATATGCTCGCCCTGCTTCCTCTTGGTCACAAGCCGTGCTTTTTTCTCCGCGGAGCTCTTCTGAAGAGGTTGCCCGCCGACGTCCGAGCTCACCTGCTGAGGGACGACTTTTCGGATCCTATAGCTTTAGCCTTGAAAGCAGACGAGATTTATCAGAGCAGAGTTTCCTCTTCAACTGTCTACACGGTTTCCAGCACCACGGAGGATGTTGTCAACGCCATGAGATCCTCACCTACAAACCGCCCACGTCGTTCAGCAACTCCTCACTCCAGCAGCCGGGATAACAGATCATCGTCTCCGTCTCTGTGTTACTATCATCGTACCTGGGGAACTAAGGCCAAGAAATGTAGAGCTCCATGTTCCTGGTCGGGAAACTAGTTTACGGGCAGGAGGATGGTTGTACCCTTCCTGCCGGGCCTTCAACCTCATCTCCTCTCATCTATCTGCAGGATTCTCTGAGTTCAAGGAGATTCCTCATTGATTCTGGAGCCTCTGTTTCAGTTTTTCCTGATCCAGGATCCTCAGGAGGAGATTCAGGAGTGAGACTGTTAACTGCGGATGGTTCCTCTCTATCATGTTCCGGATCTCGAGTCATTCCTCTACGATTCGGGAGTCACAGGTTCGAGTGGCCTTTTCAACTAGCTCCTGTAGCTGTTCCAATCCTGGGTGCAGATTTTCTGAAGCACTACAACCTCCTGCTCGATGTATCCAACCAGAGGGTTTTCAGTGCAGATTCTCCAACTTCTCCATCAATCATCTTGCCAACCTCTCCAGATTCCAAGCCTGCCCCATTCACAGCCAACCTTCTCGCCACTCCTCAATGTATCACCGACCTCCTCGCAGAGTTTCCAGATGTGGTCTCGTCTGACGGTTTCACGGCCTCTAAACCTCGTCACGGAGTTACTCACCATCTACTCACGCAACCTGGTCCTCCAGTATTCGGAAAGGCTCAACGTCTGGACCTGGAGAAGTTGGCGTCCGCCAAACAAGAGTTTTCTGCCATGGAGAAAGCTGGGATCATTCGTCGCTCTAATTCTCCTTGGTCTTCACCTCTTCATATGGTCAGGAAGAAGGATGGAGGCTGGCGTCCTTGTGGTGATTATAGACGACTGAACACGGTTACAGTTCCTGATCGGTACCCTTTACCTAATATTGCTGATTTCACCTCTCGAGTCACAGGTTCAACCATCTTTTCTAAGTTGGATCTTCAGAAGGGGTACTACCAGGTTCCTATGGCTGAAGAAGATATCTGTAAGACAGCGATCATCACTCCATTCGGGATGTTCGAGTTTCTGCGTCTCCCCTTTGGCCTCAGGAATGCGGGGAACACCTTCCAGAGGATGATGGACTCCATCCTTGGAGACCTCCCCTACTGCTTCACCTACATCAACGATATCCTGGTCTTCAGCAGCAGTTTAGAAGAGCATGTAGATCATCTTCGTCAGGTTCTCCTCCTCTGTCGTCAGCATGGTTTAACGATTGGTTTGCCCAAGTGTGAGTTCGCCGTGCCTGAGTTAGAGTTCCTGGGTCATAAACTTTCTGCTCATGGATGTTCTCCCCTGGTCAAGCATACTGCAGCGATCTCAGCATTTCCTGTTCCTGCTGACAAACCTGCTCTACAGAGGTTCCTGGGCATGGTGAACTTTTACAGGAAATTTCTCCGGGGGGCGGCCAGAGTTCTTGCCCCACTTACAGATGCTCTGAAAGGTTCTGGCAAATCCCTCTCCTGGACTCCTATCCTCGACGCTGCTTTCCGTCATGCCAAGGATCTTCTCATCAAGGTTCCAGAGCTCTCTCATCCTAGACCATCAGCTCCGATTTCCTTAGCAGTTGATGCTTCTGACTCTCATGTGGGGGCCGTGTTGCAGCAGAGGATCAATGATGCCTGGGTTCCGTTGTCCTTTTTCTCAAGGAAACTTTCGGAGACCGAGGTATACCGAGGTATACCGGAGACAGGTATATATATATCATAATCCATTTGTATACGAAATATTCAGAAAAGGTTATTGTATACGCGGTAATTGTACATCAGACAAATATTTCTTATTCAAATGAAGAACCGTTTGCAAAGCATATATAATCATATGGTAGGGCGAACCGCATCAGTTATATCGCCCTTCTATTCCTTACTCCCTGATATTTATATATGTATATATATTTCAGTTTTTAACTTCACATTTTTATTAAAAAAAGAATTATACTAAACATAATGTTTCACGTCTATCATGACGATCCTCAGTAGCTACAATTCAAACGCTAGGTTTGTTTTTGTAAGAGAAGACGCCAGTAAACCAACTTTTGCTCCTCTATACCGTGGTCCTTACTTGGTTTTAGAGCGGCGGAACAAGTTCTTCCGCCTCCAGATTGGTAATAAGGCGGACTCTGTCTCGATTGATCGTCTTAAACCAGTGTTCTCGGACTCTCCTGTTGTTCCAGCCAATCCTCCGCCTCGAGGACGTCCTCCTCTCCGCCCAGCAAGACATCCTCCTGATCCATCCTCCGCCGTGAATTCTTCCACCTCCAAGAAGAAGAAGTCTGTGACTTTCCTCAACAAACCTACAGTTGTGCTGAGAAGAAACCCGCACAGACAAGCTAGAGGAAGAAGCTCCTGCTCCGCCTTGACTCCGCCGTTCCTTCTTGGGGGGAGTACTGTGGCGGCGTAGTGGCGGAAGACGAAGTTCTGGAGGAGTTTAAAACCGAATATCAAGACGCGGCAGGTTGAGCAGTTTCCGGCCACGTCATCTATCTATCTTTTACTTTTCGATAAATTTCAGTATTTTTAAGTTAGTAATAAAGTAATTATTTAAACTGGTGTTTATTAACTTGAGCGTAGCTAAAGAACATTCATTGGAATAACAGATTCATAAATATTGATAAAAACCATGAAATAGCATATTTTTAAACTCAGAAAATAAAGATTTGGAAATGTGGCAAAAAAAAAATGTCAAAATATTAGAATTTATTTCCATATTTTCACTCTCTGTCTGTAGTGAGTAGTGTTGTTAATCGTTTTGGGTCCTATTTAAATAACATTTGTTTAAACTTTAGAGATTTCAAAACCTGTTGAAGTTTCTTTAACTAGGCATTTAGGGCGCTTCGCGCCCATCTTCTATTTCAACTTTTAATTGTGGCTTTATCTGTGAGCATCTTCTCTTTGTACAGCATAAAACAAAACAAAAACGTTTACGGATTTCATAGTATTTTTTCGCGCATTTTCAAAATTTTACAAAAATAAAAAAAACTTTTAGCACAAATATTTAAAATTTTGATCATTCATAAACCTTCCCTGGGGTCACGTAAGGTCCCACACAAAATGTGGGCCCGATCGGTTCAGCCGTTTTGACAAACATACAGACAGACAAGCTAAA